CATCTAAGTGAGTGCTCTACCATGGTTAAATCACTAATACTTCTTTATTTTATTATTATTTTTTAAGACAGGAGCTCATGTAGCCCAGGCTAATCTTGAGCTTGCTATGTAGTTGAGGATGACTTTGAACTTCTGATCCTTCTGATTTACCTTCTGAGTGCTGGGATATCAGGTGTGTACCACCCAGCCTGGTTTATGTGGTGCTAGGAATCCAACTCAGGGCTCATGCATGCTAGGCAAGCACTTTACCATTTGAGCTACATAATCAGATCTAATTTTGATTTTTAATTTTTTGATATATTTAATTTTATGTGTATAAGTGTTTTGCCTGCATATATGTAAGTGCACCCATGCATGTGCCAGTGGCGGGGGGGGGGGTGCGGCTAGAAGAGGGTGTGGGCCCTGGAACTGGAGTTCTATACAGATGGTTGTTTACTGACATGTGGGTACTGGGAACCGAACCTGGGTCCTCTGCAAGAGCAGTTTGGTGCTCGTAACTGCTGAGCTATCTCTCCAGGCCCTAATTTTTTATTTTGAGATAGGCTCTTAATAAACTGTCCAGGCTGACTTTGAACTTGCTCTGTAGCCCAGACAGGCCTTTCAATCCTCTTGCCTCAGTCTCTTGAGTAGCTGGGACCAAGCCTGGCTCCCTAAAGTTTCTTGAATGAGTTCCTCCCATTCATGTCCTAGCTATACCTTGACAAAAGCCTTTTTTTTCCTCACCTCGCCTGGATTAATCCAACAGTTCCCTCAGTGGTGGTTCTACCCCCTGGGCCCTTCTGCTCTGGTCTGCCTTTCCCTCTGCAAATCTGAATATGCTTAAATCTTTCTGTGGCCCTCAGGGTCAAGTTCAAATTCTGACATTTAGGACTCAAATTCTTCCAATGTGCCTTAATTTCTGCCCTCTTACTCCTGTATAGCCAGCCTTCACTCCAGGGCTCTCCCTCGGCCCTGCGGCCATTTCTTTCTTTCACACCTACCCGCCTTTGCCATCGCTAAGCCCTCTGCCTGGAATATCCTCCTTTCCCTCTTGGTCTAGCTGACTCCAACTCAGGGTTCCTTATTCAGGTGTGGCCTATGCCACAATGCCAGGAAGTGGCTCTGTCCTTCCTCCTTAGAGCTCCCAGAATCCCTTAGACCAGTCTCAGGTGTAGCATTTATCACAAAGTACTGTAGCTGCCTGTTACCAATGACCATGGTAGGTTCAGCTTTTTATATCTAGGACCTGGTCCAGACCTGGCACTAAGCAAGTGTCAAGAAGTAGTTAGTGACTGACCAAGTGGCAGCCAACTGTCCCTAGGTGGAAACTGATGCCAGGCCATCTGCTCTGGCCTGTGCCAACCCATGTGAGGGGTGAGGAGATCGTCCACTGTACATGGCTCCCTCGGGTCACCATCCAGCATTGGCTGACTCTACTGGGAGGAGAAGAGCCCTGGAGAAGCAAAACTTCCACCTCACAGCTAACTATCATTTCAGCTTTGAAGTCACAGCTTGATAGACATTTGCTGATATAGAGGACAACATTTTCCTGAATGTCTCTGTCAATGAGGATCTTCTATCTTAGTATTAAATGTCACAGTTGATTTCTAATCATTTAATTCTGGTACAGCCAGACAAGAACAATTAACCTTACATTAACTTTGTTAATACCTCACTAGGTATCCTACCTATTACTATTTTTTTTTAAATTTTTGAGATAGACTCTCATGTAGCCCAAGCTGGTCTTTTTAAAAAATATTTTGTTATTTTTATTTTATGTGTATATGTGTATTGCCTGCATGTAGGTAAGTGCACCTGTGTCGTGCAATGCCCTTGGAGGACAGAAGAGGCTGTTGGATGCCCTGGAACTAGAGTTTCTGACAGTTGTTAGTTGCCATGTGGGTGCTAGGATTCGAACCTAGGTCTACTGCAAGGACAGCCAGTGTTCTTAACCACTGAGCCATCTCTCCAGCTCCCCAAGCTGGTCTTAAACTTGTGGTATAGCCCAGGCTGACCTGGAACTCTTACTTATTTATTATTTTTGTTGTTGTTTTGTTTTTTTGAGACAGGATCTCTGTTTAGCCACAGCTGGATTGGAACTCTCTAAGTACACCAGGCTGGGCTTGATCTCACAGAGATCTGCCTGCCCCTGCCTCTTGCTTAAGATTAAAGGTGTGCACCACCATTAAGGGATTAAAGGCACCACTATGTTGGGCCTTCTGGACCCTCATACACACGATATGGAGGAAAATGAGGCCTAATATGTTTCCTAAGCCTGGCTAAAGTTTAGCGACCTGTCTCTGGCCTGTCACTTACACGTGGAGGTGACTCAGCAGAGCCCTATCTAAGATTGCCTCTGCCCAGTAACAACTGGTGTGGTAAATTCCCAGTGGCCCACAGTCTTCGCCCCAGATGACACATTCCTATACCCACCCCCTTTTCCACACCCCTTTTACTTAAACTATATAAGTTGATGCCTGACACAATAAAGTGAGTTCCTGCCTCGACAAGACTCCCGACTTGGTGTGGTTTTTGAGTCGCCGACACTTACCATCCCACTCAGCCCCCAAGAGAGAAACCCAGGCTGGTCCTGGCCTCTCCCCCTGTGCTGTACCTGTCGGAGCATCCAACACCACTATACCTGGCTTGACCTTGAACTCTTTATTTTGGGGGGGTGTCTATTTTGAGACAGGGTGTCCCTGTAGCCCCAGCTGACCTGAAACTCTCTATGTACACCAGGCTGGCCTTGAACTCACAAAGATCCTCCTGCCTCTGTCTCCCGAGTGCTGGAATTAAAGATCTGTGCCATCATGCCTGGCTTTGACCTTGAACTCTTGATTCTCCTGCCTCCATCTCTTAAAGATTAAAGGTATTTGCCACCACAACCAGTTTACCATCAAATTTTGACTACCTCAGTTAAATATTTACTCAGAGAAATCAAGTCCTTATGAATGTGGATTTGACCCAATGTGCTCAGCTTGTCTACACTTTCCATAATATCCCTCTTGCTGCTGCTAATTTCTATCATCCCGTCTAACTCTATTACTTCCCTTCCCCTGAGCCTTACAAAGCAGTCAGCATAAAATTAATTATAGTCTTTTTTTTGGTCTTTTTGAGACAGGGTCTCCCTGTAGCCCCAGCTGTCCTGTAGACCAGGCTGGCCTTGAACTCACAGAGATCAGCCTGCCTCTGCCTCCGAGTGCTAGGATCAAAGGCATGCGCCACCACGCACAGCTAAAATTAATTATAGTCTTTACACTAACCCTAGTTTCCATTTAAGCACTAGCCTAGTTTATATGCAAATTAAAAAGAACAAGAATGAGGGGAATAATTTGACAATTAGTAAGAGAAACACAAATGATTCCAACTCATTAAATCACAATTTTTTTTTTCATTTTTTTGGAGACAGGGTCTCCCTGTAGCAACAGCTGACCTGGAACGCACTATGTAGACCAGGCTGGCCTTGAACTCACAGAGATCCACCTGCTTCTGCCTCCCAAGTGCTGGGACTAAAGGCATGCACCACCACACCCGGCTTAAATTATGAATTTTCATAATGACCAGATACCCTCTTTTGTTTTAATATAACCCTAGCCTCACTACACTCCTTGTAAGTGCTCTAATTTATTGATCTCACCTGTGTATATACTCCTATGTCCAGAAGACATACTATCATCTATATTTATTATAGGAGCTCTAATTACTATTATTTTGAGATGGTCTCATGTAGCCCAGGCTGGCTTCAAACTCACTATGTAGCCAAAGATGACCTTGAACTCTTGAGGCTCCTGCCTCCACCACCTGAGTACTGGGTTGACAGGTATGTGGCATCACACTTAGCTTCTATATCCTTTAACTAATTACTTAATTTTTATTGTGCATGCATGAGTATTTTGCTTACATATATGTAAGTGCATGCAATGCCCGTGGAGGCCAGAAGAGAGTGTCAGATTCCCTGGGAGTTACAGATAGTTGTTAACCACCATGTAGGTGCTGGGCACTGAACCCGGGTTCTTTGCAGGAGCAGCCAGTGCTCTTCACCTCTGAGCCACCACTCCAGCCCCTCGATATACTTTTTCGAAGCTGTGATTATCCCAATTCCTCTTTGACTGTCTCAAGGGGCCTTAATTTTACTTGTACAAAATTAAAGTTTGTATTGTTTTCTGATGAGAAGAGAAACGACATGCTGGTTGGGAACATTTGGAAATGATAGGAAGAGGATGGAAGGAAGGAGGAGTGCTCTCCTGGCAGTTCCACTCCCAGAGAGGAAGCAGGCATGATAGCTCTGGATTCGGCAGACATGACATGTGCCAGACTCCATTTGTTACAGTGCCATTCTTCCGTGTCAGCTTGTGATTCCTGAGCCTGCCTTCTTTTCTCTCAGGGCTCTTGTGGACGGCTAAAGAATGGATCCTCCCACCACTGGGGAAAGACGAATGAGTTACAGGAAATAGACTCTGTGTCCCCGGAGCTGCAGACAGAATTAGTTCCCTTTCCAAAGCTGTCCTCACAGATGTGCCTTATACAGAGGAGGCCCCCAAGACAAAATGGCTTCAGGGTGTGGACGCTGAGGCCTCTGAGATCTGAGCCAGTGACCTGAAATGCTGAGCAGTTGTCTGAGTTCGTAGCTCGTGTCTATAAATGACGCCTCCTTAACCTCCTCGTTTTCTGACATGGGTAAACGCTTCCAGGACATCTTTGTGAAGTCTCTACTTGAGCTTTCCTTCTCTCCTATGTGTGTGGAAAGGAAAACAGCCACAGCTACAGGAAACAAGGCTCAGGGTGCTACCAGATTTCTTAATTATCCAAAGAGTTTCAGCTTGTTGGGGTGTCCAGCCTTCCTGCTTCTCTGGGCAATACCGGATGCAAAGATTGCCTTGGGCCACACAATAAATCCAAACCAAAGACCTTGGATTGCAACAGCAAACATATGTTTATTTTGCATGACATTGTGATATGACATGCTATCCTGGGCTGTGTATTGGACACTTCTGGAATTTTAAAAGTCTATTTCTCATTAAAATTCACAAATACAAACTGGGCATGGTGGTGTACACCTGCCATCCCAGAAGGAGGATTGTGAGTTTGAGGCCAGCCTGGGCTACATAATGAGAACTTTTTCAATCCCCACCACCAAATTAATTAAGAAGCATACATGCATGTACACTTATTTACATATAATGTATATTCTGTGACAGATCTCTGCTAGCTAAGCCTGTCCCTGGCCTACTCCATGTCCTGCTTTGTTTTTTTTCCCAGGAGTGCTTTCACACCAATCAACACCTACGTCAGTTTCTCAATACCATTGCCACCCCTACAGTTCCTTGTTTATGCTGCCTGACACTGGATTCCACTAAAGGACTCACTATGAATTAGTTCTGTACCCCTACCCCTCCAGTGACGGACATTAAGTCACTCCCACCTCCTACCATTATAAATGGGGACCACCACTGTCCTTAGGTGTTTGCACATATGCCCTGTTACTCCTCTACAATTCAATCCTAGCAGATTTTTTTTGTGTCTAAATGCTGTTATAACTAACTGGTTCTCAAGTGAGTTTTTAGGGTTGTATCTGTCCAGTGTGGAGCAGGGTAAGGCCACCAACCAGCCAGACCTTCTTACCATCTGGTTCTGTGATTGTGGGCAAGTCATTCTCCCTTTCTGGTCCTCTGTTACCATTAAGTAAGGGAAGTGATTTTTGAGGGTTATTCAAGCTTGGATATTGTGCAGTTCCGTAGGTCCAGTAACAGGAAAAAGGGAGGGGCAGGAACTTACCTTGAGGTGGGTGTCAGAGATGGTATCTGGGGTGACTGTCTTCCACTCCTCAGAGCCGTCCTCCTGGAAGCTGACATGGTAGCCTGTGATCGGCCCGGCCCCTGTATATAGTGGGGGCTCCCACTGTAGCATCAGGGAGGTGGCATGAATCTCAAATACCCGAACATCGTATGGGGGGCCTGTGGGGGACAAGATGGGGCAGAGATGTGGAGTTGTGCACCCAAGCAAAGCCAGTCAGCAGCTCTCTAACCAGACAAGTGGGCAGTGAGCCAAGCAGTCGGTCTGCAAGCTGGGTAATTTGTCAGTCACCACCAAGTCTGGAAGTATGGCCTCAGGATATAGTGGGACCTGGCCAACCTTGACTTCCTGACAACACTTGATCTTGAACCTGAAACCTGGTTAACTGCTCAAAATGCACTCAGCCTCACCCCCTCCTGGAACCCTCTCTGACCTTCCTCATCTGAGACAGCAGGAAGCTTCCCAGAGCTTTGCCAGCCTCTCAAGGTCAAGGGTGGAGGCTGAGGTTATGACATCTAGAGTCAGAATGTCAGGGTAGTGTCCCAGCTCCACCCTTTCCATTGATGGGGATTCAAGGAGTTAATTAACCTCTGTGTTCCTGCCTCCTCATCTGTAAAACGAGGTCACAACAGTTCTAACGTAAGGAGCTGTGCCAAGCAAGATCATTTACAGGATGTGTCTACATGGCAAGGAACCCAGCAGTATTAGCTGCTTGTAACTGTTGAAAACATCACAGCTTGTAATTACTTGTTGCTCAGGAAAGAAGGCTGTTTTTGTTTGTTTGTTTGTTTGTTTGTTTGTGGCAACTGAACCTAGGGCTTCATACATACAAGGCAAGTGCTCTACCACTGAGCCATATTCCCAGCCAGGGGAGGGACTAAGGAACTTATTTATGAGACAGCCAATGGGGTTACAGGAACAGTGTTCGTGGTGGCTGACTGTCCCTGTTTGTCTAGGACTGGGGGTGGGGGATTCAGTGGTAAACTGAGAAAGTCCATGGTGAGCCGGCATGGACTCACCATCCTGATACTGTGACTTTGGGATTCACAAAGGGACTACAGCCAGAATCAGAGTTCAGATTCTGTATCAAGGTGGGGGACCAGGCCCAGGAGATGGCCCAGTCAGGGGGTCCTTTCAAGCAGGTTTAAGAGTTAGTATCAGCTTGTGCCTGGGATCCTAGGTTGACAGAGCAGGACTGGGTGTCAGGGGAGTGCAGTGGCATCCATGTAGTTAGTGCGATGAGGAAGGGCGAGGCCAGGTCTGGGTGTCAGCACACAGGCTCTCACCTGGCTGAGGCATCGTCCACTCTTTGCACTCAAATAGGCTGCTGGGTGCTGATAGCTCGCCAACCCCCGCCCAGTTCACTGCTCGGGCCTGGAACTCATAGAAGTGGCCTTCTCGAAGGTTGGTGATCTGGAGAGGTGGAAAGTCAGGTGAAGTAAACCCAGGCTGGGACAGGGAAGAGGGAGGTGGTACAGTGCAGGGGAGCCAGAGCAGAAGGTCCGTGGGGGCTTTCTGCCGGGCTATACCTGGAACTCCTGGATGATGGACCCTGGGGAACCCAGAAGCTCTTGACATGCTTCCTGCCTCTTTTGTAACAGCAGTGATGAGGGCTGCAGGCACACTCCAGCCTCACCTTGCACACCCGGCTTGGAATGGGCTGCTGGTTGACTGGGTGCCAGTCTGGCTCCTCAGAATCATGCTGGTCCAAGAAGTAGCCCAGGGTCTTGCCGCCTCCACGCCTTTTGGGGGGTTTCCATCCAATAACCATTTCATTCTTTCCACAGTGCAGGAGTGCAAAATCATATGGGGCCGATGGGGTAGCTGTGGGAGGCAAGGACTGGGCTCTCTAGGGCAGCTGGATTGGGCGGTGGGGGGCCCCAGGGAGTTGATGAGCCTCCTCTTGTGGATGCCCACCCTGCTCTAGGAGTCGTCAAAGAGCCAGCAGCATCTGCCCACCTCAAGGGCACCTTGAAGTCTGATCTCAGCCTGGGAGCCTTCCCATTCCCTAGAGAGGTCCAGGAGAAGGCCTTATCACAGCCTTAGGCTACTCTGTCACTTCCTGAAGGCGAAGGTGACCAGGCCGGCTCCAGTTCCCCTGAGAGAGCTTTTGTCCCATTGGCATTGGAATCAGACCTTCTAAGATACAGCTTTGGCTCCTGCCCAGGCCAGGCTGCTCTGAGGATTGCAGGTTGGACCCACCCTGGACTCACCCAGAGCCTGTTTGACCCTGATGGGCTTGGTGACGGCTGAACTTTCGCCAACCCCAGCCTCGCTGACCGACCTGATGCAAAACTCATAATCCTTCCCTGTCTTCAGTCCAGGAACTGTGAACCTGGGTGAGAAAAGTGCAGCCTTCAGGGATGACCAAAAAGCCCATGGCTATCCGAACCTTCTAGAACTGCCTTGTGGGATAAATAGTCACCAGTGAGATAGGATTAGAAGGTTCTGGGCTAAAATATTGCCTCCAGTCTCATAGTTATGTCTGATGGCACATGGAGGACACTGTCCTTAGGACTGCAAAGAATATTTATTCTAGGCCAGGTGTGGTGGCACACACCTTTAATCCCCCAGGACTTGGGAGGCAGAGGCAAGTAGATCTCTATGAGTTTAAGGCCAGCTTGGTCTACATGAGTTTCAGGTCAGCTAGCGCTATAAGGAGACCCTGTTTTAAAAAAAAATTTATTCTAGAATCTGTCACCCAAATGCAAAGATGAGGGGCTAGGTGATTCAGTTGGTATAGTAGATGCCACCCATATATGAGGAAATATGTTCAGATCCCCAACACCCATGTAAAAGTGGGGTGTGGCCATCTGCACTTGTAACACCATCGTGGGGTGTGTATGTGTAGAGGTGTGGAGACCTACTTGGTGTCCTGGATGGGCTTGTTGTTCACTGTTTGCCACTCAGATGTCCCAGCCTCCCGGGAGTAGATATAATAACCCAGGAGCTCTGTGCCACCATCCACAGGCTCCCAGGCCAGGGACACAGAGGTCTTTGTGTCTCGGAAAGCTTGAACTTGAGCTGGAGGAGGGAGAGTAGCTGGAAAACAGAGGGGCAGAGAGAGGGCACTGAGTTAAGGCTCTGATAGGAGGGGAGAGGGAGGAGCCTGGGGGGAACCAGGGAGGAGTGCCACAGCAATCAAAGGCAGTGGCTAGATTCCAGCCTTTCTCTAGAGTTTTGGGACTGCCCAGAGTATGCCTGAGACTCTCCTGCCCCGTTTCCTCACTTAAGCACTAAGACCTTCCCTATTAATTCTTAGAGTCAATTTCTCTCTTTTCTTTTTGCTTTTCCTCTCCCCTTCCTTCCCTCCCTCCCACCCACCTTTACCAACAGTTCAAACAGTCCTTATCTTCAATTGTAAACGGATGATTAGAAGGTTGTGTTTATGTACATATGTAGGTATATATGCATGTATGGGTGGATGGGTGGATGAATGACTATATAGTGGATAGATGGGTGGGTGGATGGATGGATGGATGCTTAGATGAATGCATAGGTGTGTGTATGAATGGATGGATGGATAGGTGTGTGTGTGTGTGTGTGTGTGTGTGTATGGGTAAGTGGGTGGATGAGTGGGTAGGTGGATGAATGGGCAGATGATCAGATTGAGGAATAAGTGGGTAGAGGATTGGATAGATAGATAATTGGATGGGTATACGAGTAGATGAATATTTAATTGGATGGATGTGTAAGTGGGTGGATGCATGAATGGGTGGATAAGGTGACTGAATTGATGGATGCTTGGGATGGATGGATGTTTGGGGAAGTAGGTGGGTGGATGGATGGAGAGATTAATGGTTGGGTGGATGGATCAGTGGTTGGATGGTTGGATTCATGGATGTGTGTGTTAATGGTTGGATGGATAGATGGGTCGGTGGGTAGGTCAATGGATGGCAGGTATGTGGTCATCATTACTTAGTAGATTTTTTACCCATCTTTTGGTGGCCTCTGTGTTTCCTTTTCTCTAACTGTGAGCCTCCTCCCACCTACTTTACTTTTCCCCTCTTCTCTTATCCCCGAGAGCCCTGCCTAGCCTATGCCTTCACCACCCCCTTTCTCTTTACAGGCTTCACCTCTAGTCCTGCCTTCTTCCCTGAATTACAGAACCTTGTTTTCCTTTCCCTATGGACACCCCTTTGTGTCTTGATTTATCCAACATAAATCCAGTATTTGCTGAGAACCTGCTCTGAGCTAGCCTCTACACTGGCCTGGGGCACATACTAAGAAATGGACTGAAGGTCTTGTTACCAACTTCAGCCTCTGGAATTGAGGAGAGTGGCTGTGGGTGCTGTTGGGTATACGGGAGAAGCTCTACGAGGAGGCCACGCAAGAACTCAGGCCCAGGGGACCTGCTTTTACCAAGAGCAGGTAGGAGCTTGAGTGGAAGGTACCCATGGTGTGGAGTAATCCTTAGTCACTAAAACCAAATAGCTTTCGTGACTCAAGGAAATGTTTGTGATAACAATGTTAATGTTTTAAAACTAGAAGGTAAATCTCTCCCTCTCTGCCCATGCGTTCTGAAAGGTGCACTGGTGTGTGTCACCCGAGTGCTCACTGCAGTGACCCGCAGAGGAGGAATCACAGGGAGAGGGACACTTCCTGCTTCCCTTCCTGCTTCTCCTTTTTTTTCTTTTTTCCTTCTTCCCTTTTTTCTTTTTCATCTATTTTATACACTAAATCTTCTTTTATGACACAAAGCAATGCCTTTTATTTTTCCCTCCCTTCTCAAGTCTCCTGGCCCTCCCTCCTCTAAATTGCACCCGAGTCTTGTCCTGAGGCTGGTCTAGGCATTGCTTACATCTAATCACAAACCATTCACTGGTAAATCCCTGAATCAAAGTGAAATGCTAACCAGATCAGAATTAAAGAAAAACTCCAGTTACCTATCAACCCATTCATATGTGGCATACTATGTATATATACATATATGCAAAATTTACATGTATGTAATATATACATATATGTATGTATATAATGCTTTAATCCCAGCACTCAGGAGACAGAGGCAGGTGAATCTCTGTGAGATCAAGGCCAGCCTGGTCTACATGGCTAGCTCCAGGCCAGCTGGGGCTACAGGGAGACCCTGTCTCAAAAAGAAAGAAAGAAAAAGAAAGAAAGAAAGAAAGAAGAAAGAAAGAAAGAAAGAAAGAAAGAAAGAAAGAAAGAAAGAAAGAAAATTTTGAATTAGGGCAAATCTAGGACTTTGGAGTCATCTGCAGCCACCAGACCTCTTTAGGATGGAAGCTCCTCAGAGGACTAGCTGGTAATGGCTGCTGCAAGGAACCCTCAGATCTGATCTCCTCACCCCAGAATCCAGAGGCTTCAGAGAGGGGGCATTGAGAATTGGGGTAGGATGGAGCTGCTGTGGGGGGACTCTGGATGAGCCAAAAGTGGGGCAGTCACCAGGGCCCCAGAACAGTAGCTGTGGCAGGCAGGGCAAGAAGGTCTGCTGCTCAGAAATGGACCCAAGTGGTGTGGATGTGAGGGGTCCTACCTGGAAAGCCAGTGCTCACATGGGACAGCCCAGTCTATTGAAGGAGGGAGTGGGGCCTAAGCAGGAAGCCCACCTGTTTATTTAAAGGTCTGGACACTTTTAGAGGAAGTGCGCACACTCAGCTCCTGTGCCAAACCCAGCTGGACTCTGTCACCTGTCCCAGGTCTGCTCCCCAGAGAAATGCAGTTTCTGACACCTCAAACTTTGCAGGCTGGAGGTCCTGTTGCTTTTCAATAGTGGCAGAACCCCTCCCTGTAGCCTGAGTCCTGAGCCCCGATGTGTCAGCCTGGCTGGTCCGCCTTCTCCCTGAATGGCAAGGCATCTCTGGTACCTGGCTTGCCCCTCAGGGCAACGGGCTCGCTGGGTTCGGAGGGATCACTCATGCCATACTGGTTCAGGGCTCGTACTCTGAAGACATACGATTTCCCCTTTTCCAAGTCCAGGAGGGCGAATCTCGGGGACTTCACAGGGGTTTCTGAGCTGATGGCCTCCCAGGTTCCACTACCTATGACGGACTGAAGGGTAAGAGGAACTGGAGTTGGTGCATTGCCTGCTGGAACCCGACTGTGAGTGGGATGTTTCCCACAGAGGCTCTTGGGGTTGCTCTCTGCAGCCTGGTGGCTCCTGGGCACCCGATCTCTGATCAGTCAGCTTCTTCATCCTCCTCACCCCGGTGTCTGCTGAGCCGCTTACCTGCAGCACAGCCAGCACTATCTACAGGACTCTGCACGCCTGTGCTACTCATACAGCACTAACGACACCGTACTTGGAGTTGCTAGGGTCCAAACCTTTGGAGCCAAAGACCCAAACCTATGCTCCATCCACAAAACCACCTCCAAAACATATCTAGGGTCCAATTCAACTCCCCACTTGCACACCTCACCATAGTCTTCATCCTGTTGCCAGAATCACTTGACTAGTCTCCTTACTGACGCTTGTGGTTCTAACTTTAATTTTGCCTTTTCTTTCTCACCCTTTCTCCCTTCCTCCCTCTTGCATTCTTTCTTTTTGATTAAAAAAAAACCTTTATTTTAAAATTTTTTTTAAAAACACTTTATTATTTTTATTTTATGTATATGTGTATTGCCTGCATGTATGTAAGTACACCCATGTCGTGCAATATCCATGAACGTCAGAAAAGGGTGTCGGATCCCCTGGAACAGGAGTTACAGATGGTTGTTAGCCACCATGTAGATGCTGGTGTATGAGTGTACTGCCTACATGTATGTAAGTGAACCTGTGTCATACAATGCCTGTAGAAGTCAGAAGAGGGCTTTGGATCCCCTAGAACTGGAGTTACAGATGGTTATCAGCCACCATTGGAATCGAACTTGGGTCCTCTGCAAGAGCAGCCAGTGCTCTTAACCACTGAGCCATCTCTCCAGCCCCCAACTTTAAAATTTTTTAATCTTGTGTATGTGTTCCTATTACGTGGGTATGTGCACACGAGTGCAGGTGCCCTTGGAAGCCAGAGGTGTTGGATCCCTTGGAACTGGAGTTACAAGCCTGATGTGGGTGCTGGGATCCAAATTCTGGTCCTTTGATAGAGTAGTACGCATTCTTAATCACTGAACCATTGCTTCAGCCACTCTTACTGATTTTGTTTTGCTTTTTGAGATAAGAGAGATCCTTTATAGAAAATATCCTTTATAGAAATAGGCCAGATCAGTCCCCTGTCTGCTCAGACCCTTCCAAGCCCCCATGTCCTCCTGACCTGCTACCAAATGCTGCCCTGTGGCCTGGCCATGGTCACTTCCCCTTGTCTACCTACCATAGCCCAGGGTCTTCCTGTTGCTCCCTGGAAGCCTGGGTTCTGTCTCTGAGCTTTGCACTCGCCAAAGCCTCTACCTAGAATGTTCTGTAATGTTCTTGGTTCCCTAACTCCTTAGGCTCTTTCTTAGAACCCATCTTCTGGGGAGGCTTTCGGGCCATGTCTAAAATGTCAGCAGCCCTCCCTGTTTCATGCTGTTCTCCTTGGCGCCTCCCATTAGCCAATGGGCTCATGTCTTTATCTTTTACCACCTCACCTTGTTTCTCATCTCCCCCTACCCCCCAACTCTGCCATGTCCCCAGGACCAGAAATAGCCCTGGCACATGGGAGAATGAGTGTCCAAGCGGATGGATTTGCAGAATACCTCTACAAGGGGATTGTTAATTTCCACACCAGTGAGGAAACTCAGGGACTTTTGCTAACTTGTCCAAAGCCACACATCTAATAAGATGCAGTTACAGTATGGGAACTCACATGTGGGTGGCACCAGACCTGCTCACTCATGCAGTATCAGGGACTCAGAGGGCAGCCATTGGTCCTGACTGGCAGGGTAGATGCAAGGTGGAAAGCTGCAGTGGGTGGCTGTGTGATCAGTGAGCACTTCTGCCAAGTCTAGGCCTGAGGCTTGGGGCCCAGAAACACCAGGGACCCACTGACCTGCCTCCATGCCTTTCTTTTCTAAGGCCCACCTGGTATTGTGACCTAGAACCTAACAAAGCCAAACAATCACTAACATCAGTGGACACCACCAAGCACCTGCTGTGCACCAGGCTCTGCTCCCTTCATACACTCTAACTCCCTTGGACCTACAAGGTGTGTATCATTATTATGAACATTGTAATGGACAAGAAACTGATGCATGGAGGAACAAAAATGAGTTGCCCAATGTCACACTGCCACTGATGAACAGAGAAAGGCTTTGAGCCCTAGAGTCTGACCTCAAGGTCTTCACCATTTCATTCCATAGCTCGGGATACCAGTTTTCTCTTTTGTGTGTATGTTTGTATGTGGGGTTGTGCATGCACATGTGTGTTGGGGGGCACAGATGACACTGGGTATCTTCTTCAACCACTTTCCACTTTATTTTTTTGAGACAAAATCTCCCACTGAACCTGCTGCTCACCGATTGACTAGACTGACTGACCAGCAAGAGCTGGGGATCCTCCTGTCTCGGCCTTCCCCAGCGCTGGGTTTATAGTCACAACACTGGCATGCTTGGCTATTTATGTGGGTGCTGGAGATCTGAATGCAGCAAAGCCTTTACTGATTGAGCCTTTTCTCCAGCCTCAAAATTTTCAATTATCTGGAGCTCTCCTATGCTGGGAACTGGGGCTGGTTACCTGTGAGTGTGAAAACAGGACTTCTCTGGACAATCAAAGAGAGATACCTCTTTGAACATTTTAAATTCATGAATTTAGTAAACCCTTATGTCACCTACGATGTGCTGGGTGCCATGCTGGGCACAACAGATAAAGAAGACAGACTGTGCCTTCAAGGACGGGAGTTGGGTGCACCTATCCAGAGGCAGTGATTGGCCCTGGCTATGTGGTGTTTCCTTTCTCTCCCAGGGCAGGCTTTCCAATCTAGGATTGAGGACACTGAGTCTCAGAGAGATTACAAAACTGGCTCAGACTCACACAGCAGAACCTGGAGCTGACTGAATCCCAGCACCCACGCTGTCCTCTACTCTGCCTTGCCTCCTCCCCTCTGCCTCCACCAGTCTCTCCTGTTCCATCTCTGTGCCTAGTTTTAAGGCCATTTCCTAGTGCTAGTCATGCCATGTGCCCCTGTCTGGTGAAAACAACCTTCACTTCCTATCCAACACGTTCTGGTGAAGAAGAGGTCCTGAACCCTAAGCATGGCCCTGTGTGGTTGACCTGGGGGTAGGGAGGTGCCTGGAAAGTGGATCTTATCAGCTGTTACAGCTGTCTGCCCCTAAGGAGTACCTGGGCTTTCAGGGTTGGAGGTCACCACAAAAGTCCATTCCCCTGCCTCAGGGTAGGGCTTTGCTCAAGCTCTTCTAGGCAGACATTCTCATCTCTGTAGACCCCAGGAATGGGGTTCTCCACATTCTGCACCTCCCTTACCACAGATCCCATAGCCTGCCTCCTTCTTGGGGCTGTTCCTTGGGGTTCGTACCTTCTCCAGGCAGTAAGTCAGAGGGGCTCTGCCCCGGGGGCGAGGCTCTTCCCAGCTCAGAACCACATAGTTCTCTCTGATCTCACTGGCGCGGACATTGGTAGGGGGTGAGGGGATGGTTACAGCATCTGGAAATAGAGTCATTCAGGGCAGAGTTGGGTAGGACTTCAAAGACCCTTAATCTCAGCTCTGTATTCCACAGACAGGGGAATAGGTGCCTGGAGACGGGTAGGGACTTGTTCCAGCTCACCCAGCAAGTCCAGACAGAGCCAGTGCCAGGTCCTGGTCCCCTGAGGCCCTACCCAGGGCCCTTTTCTATAGGCCATTTCTTCCAAGGACATACAGGCCCAGCACTTGGCCTTCTCTGAGTGGACCTTCTTGCCTGTACCTTCCCACATCCTGGGATGGTTAGCTTCCCTGCTTTGCCAGTCAGTGAACTTGAATCCTAGAGCTGTGGAGCTGGTTGCCAGAGGCCAGCTGCAGGGAAGGTCACACATACCTTCAAAATCATCCTCGTTGATGGTGATCTTGCTGCCCAGGTCAAAGGAAATCTCTAAGAGGGAGGACAGAGCACAAGGGATTGGATCAAGAGTCAATCAGCACCTGCCCCATTTCAGGTTCTGCATCCTGCCTGGCCCCACCTGGCTTGGCAGCCCTGGCCATGTTGCCTCCGGTTGGGGCTTTCTGAGCCCAGTTTTCTCAGAATCCAAAGTGGGCCCTGTTGCTCTTAGGTTCTTGGGGCAGATGGATACAGACATCAGGAATGATGTGACTGGATTCCACAGAGTTGGTGCAAACCCAAGGCAGGGTGACTTCTAAGGTCTGAGAGCTATGTTCCCAACACTCCCTGGGATGGGGTTCCAAAAGGCAGAGTGGCCACCTCCCCTCAGACTGAAGAAGAAGCTATGGTCCTCCCACGTGTCTCTCAGGGATGAGGCTGGCTCCTTCCACCAGACTAGCTATTTCTTCCCCCTCAGATTAAGGATTCCTCAGGATGAGACTCTGTCTCCCCCACCAGACTAGGGGTACATAAGAATAAGGCTGTAAACTTTCCATTCGACTGGCCTGAATGGTGTCTCTTCTGTAACAGGCTAGGCCTTCCTGAAGGCTGGGCTGTATGTCCCTGTGATGGTTAATATTGGAGAGGATTTATAATCACCATGGAAACAAACTTTTAGGGAATTCCTAGGTTGGGTCAACTGAAGTGGAAAGACACATCCTAAATGTTGATAGTGCTATTCATGGGCTGGTGTTCTGCACTGAGTAAAAAGGAAAGAGCAAAGTGGGCACCAGTCTCTCTCTCTCTCTCTCTCTCTCTCTCTCTCTCTCTCCCTCCCAATCACAGATGCAATGTGACCAGCTGCCTCATGCTCCTGGTGTCATGCCTTCCCTGCCATGATGGACTCATCCTCAAACTGTGAGCCACAACAAACACTTCCTTAAGCTGTTTTTGTCACAACACTCAGAACGGGAACCACGCCACCTCTCTCTTGTTGAGGCAGTCAGTCCTGAGTGCCCTGATGCCTACAATGTCCTCTGTGTACTCACCTGTCTTCCTCTGAAGTGCATCATGATCGCCCATGACAACCACTTCTGAAGCCTTTGAGGGGAGGCTGCTGCCTGCCTTGCTGATGGCTCTCACCCTGAACCGGTAGCTCTGCCCTTCAATGAGGCCTTGGACTGGGCACCGACAGGTCCCCCCAGGGGCCTCACAGCAGGGTACCCATTCTTCGGAGTCACCCTGGCATCTGCAAGAGACAGCCTGGCTTTCAGCTCTGTCTAGGTCTCATACGTTCCCGGTTTGAGCCTCTGCAGGAGCTGTTTCTTGCACTGGGCAGCACATTTGTTTGTAAGTTGCCTTGTGTCCATGACCATCTTCTTCCACTTAAAACCCTTACTCTAGCCTGGGGCCAGCACATTCAGGAGGCCTTTCACCATCTCCCATCACCATGCTGATTGCAAGTGCTAGAGAGCTTGCTGTGTCCCTGGGGGCATGCTGGATATTCCATATCTACCTTCATCTTGTCCTCCCAGTAGCCCTGAGGGTCACTCTACAACCAAGCATGCACAGAAAGCAAGAGAGCTCGGTGCAGGCCCAGGCGGCACATGGCAGTCACTGTCTCCTCAACTGCTAGGGCCTTGTTTTTTTCTTAACTGCAGCTTCAGAGTCCACAGCATGTAAAGAGGGTTGGAGGACTTGTCCCTCCATCTGTCCTTCCCCTTCTCATAGTGTGTCCCTCCCTAGGGCCTGATCTAGCCACCAAATTCACACATGCTCAGATATCAAAATACTTAACTCTTTTGCCCCTTTTTTTTTTCATGCATCAGTGAGAAAGAGGTTTGGAGGTCCTCCACCGTCCCTAAATTCTATCTACCCCATGTTTGGTCCCTTTGCCCTGTCTGAGAGGCAGGGATGAGAGTTCCTGAGACCTCCCCTTCCAGCCCTTTGTTCCCAGACCAGGCAGCATTCTTCCTTAGGGGCTCTGCCATATCAGAGTGCCACTCACAGCTCAATGGAGTAGCCAGTGATGGGGCTGCCCCGGGTGTTGCTGGGTGGTGCCCAGCTCAGGATCAGGCAGTCTCTGTTCACATCCAGGCACCGGATGTTGAGCGGCGAGCCTGGGGCTCCTGGCATCTCGGCTGCAGCATCTAAATCCCAGGAGGGAGAAACCAATGGCTCACCCTCAGACTGAGGCCATTTAGCAACTAGTCCAATTCCCCCACCCCCAACACCCTCTTCTCCTGAGTCCTCTTAGAGGACCAGGGCCTGAGGACTAGCCCGGCCTCCACCAAGAGCAGCATCTGGGGGAGGAGCGGCAGTATCATTTATTAGGTGCCCATTTCATACCAGGCACCCAAAGAGATGACATAACCTTCAAACCCAGAGCAACCTCACTTTGTAAGTAGGGAAACTGAGTCTCGTAGAGGTAAAGCAACATGTCTGAGGGCACCTACCTCACAAAGTGGGCAAACCAGAATTGAATATATACGGAGTTCAAACACCAGGAGGCAGAACTCAACCAGTGACCAGAACCTTCCAACCCTGTGCAAAATGCACAAAGCCCTCCCTCCTGGTTCCCACCAAGTCTCTTCTTGGAGACTGTGGAGATTTTGACGTGTCCCTTTGGACTCACAGGATGATGCTCCAGAGACCCTAAGAGACTAACCCAACACTCTCATAGCAGAGGAACCAGGGTCTTGAGAGTGCTTGGGCCTTGGCCACGTCCCCCTATAATTCAAGGCAGAGCCGTGGTCTCTGGGTCCAGATGCCCCTACTAACCACTGCTCCTTACCTCTTACAAACACATAGGCACTCTGCTCCTGAGGCCCAAAGGGTGAGGACACTTGGATTGTGTAGAGTCCCTCATCTTCCTTGTAGGCACAGGACACCTTCACAGAGGCCTGGTGGTCTGCGTAGAGGATCTGCCTACGTGCCAAGGACCTCAGTAGCCTGCCTGTGGAGAAGAAGGGGGCCCAGTGTGAGTTCAAGGGGGATCCTGGCCTCACCTGGGAACTCATAGATGCTTGAGGGACCTGGAGGTCCTGACCAGGCATAGAGAAGGTCGATGTGACTACAGCCTTGAGGCTTAGCTTGTGTGTGTGTGTGTTGGGGTGGGGGGAGGTTGGCAAGGGGATTAAGGATTTTCAAGGCTTTGTCATGGTGGTAGCTAAACTCTCTTCTGAGAGAGCTGGGAGATAATGGAGCTTGGTGAGTGTGAGGCTCATGGATGGAGTGAGGGTTTAGAGAATAGCAGGGAAAAAAGGTAGAGCAAAGAGACGGGGCTTGTGTGAGCTGTGGGGGCTCAGTGAGGGGGTTCAGTAGATGAAAGCTGATTAAAAAATTTTTTTTTCTAAGACAGAGTCTCATGTAGCCCAGGCTGGCCTTAAATGTCAGATCCCCCCATTTCTACTTCCTGAGTACTGGGATTACAGGTATATGCTACTGGTCCTGGTTTATGTGGTACTGGGGATGGAACCCAGGGCTTCTTGGATGCTAGGGAAACACTCTGTCAACTGAGCTATGAGTTGCAATCTTTTTTTTTTTTTTTTTGTCTTTTTGAGACAGGGTCTCCCTGTAGCCCTGGCTGGCCTGGAGCTTGCTATGTAGACCAGGCTGGCCTTGAACTCACAAAGATCTGCCTGCTTCTACCTCCCAAGTGCTGGGATTAAAGGCTTGTGCCACCACCCCTGGCATGAGTTGCAATCTTAATGAAGAAAGTGGGGCTTACTGAGAGGTGGGGGCTCAGGAAAGGACCAGGATCTCATTGAGAAAGTTAGGGTCTTAGTGAGGAGGGCAGAGGGCTGGTTGAGGAGAGACAGGGATCCATGAGTGAGATCTTGAGTAGGGCCCTGGAATGGCCTTGCCCTGAGCTGCCCTGGAGAGCTGTCTTTTCTCTGGTCCCCACAGAGGCTCCTCCTTCCTGTCAGCACTCTATTCTGGATGATGGACAGGTTTGGGAAAACACACAGGCCTTGGTTTTGCAGCTGTTCCTTAGGGCTCCTCCATCCACCCACCCCCAGCAGGTGCCACCTCCCTGGAGTCAAAGCAAGGAAGATGGGGGAGGGGAGGAGGAGGAGGATGTGCTTCTTGTCTTTAGGCTACAGGCCTAGTCACAGTCAAGGTCGAAGGGTCAGTCTGCTCTAGCCCTTTCCCGGAACATCCTGGAGCTCTTTACCCTGATCCATACACTGTCACAGAAAGGTCCTGTGTTAGCCACACAGCCTGCTCTGACATTGTGACCTGTTCTGCCCCCTGGCCTTGGCCTCTGGATTCTTTGCCTTGACTGTTATTTCTTACCCTAGGGTGGTGGTAATCCATGTCCATAGCTGCCTGGGCAGACCCCACTGGCAGTGGTTATAGTCCCCTCTCTGACACACAGCTCCCTGAGCCCATGCTGATCTGTACCCGCCCTGTCTCTGCCCCAAAGCAGAGACTGGCACCCTGTGGATGACTGGTGTAATAGTTTAATTGTCAACTGGGTAGACTCTGGAGTCACCTGGGCCTGCCTGTAGGGGATTATCTTGATTGCTTTAATTGAGGTGGGAAAGTCTGCCTATTTTAAGTGGCACCTTTCCCTGACTGGGATTCTGGACTGCATAAATGGAGGAAGGGACTGAGCAAGAGCATTCCCCTGTCACTCTCTGCTTCCTGACTGTGGATACAATGTGACTGGCTGCTTCATCTCCTGCCGTCTTGACTCCCCTGTCATGATGGACTGCACCCCTGAACTGTCAGCTGGAATAAGCCCTTTCTCCCTTGGGTTGCTTTTGCCAGAGGATTTTTATCACAGCAGCAGGAAAAGAGACTGAGACAGCTGGTGGCCCCGGGGGCAGGCTGACTCCTGGGATAGTAGTAGGGCTGTCTCAGGGTTTAGAGGGAAGCTAGATCTGATCCCCCTCCGGTTTCCCATCCCTCTGGGTCTCAACTGAGCCACAGAAGGGCTGCCTCCAAAGGCCTTACCGTCTCTGAACCACTGGATTCTCTGTTCTGCATCTAACACATCATTTGAAAACAGGCAGGTCAGGGAGAAAGGTTCCTTCTCCCTAGCAAAGACTGGCTTCAGCACCGATGTGAATTCTGCACTGGGACCAAACATCGATCCTGGGATAGGGACAGAAATGTGAGACCCACGTCTTTTGAGATGACAGACTGTCTTGGGGAAACAAGGACATTCCTGGGGTGGCCCCATTCTTATGGGTCAGAACTCATAGTTCCCAATGGGAGGTATCAAAAGAGAAAGGGGGCCTGGAGGTGCAGAGGGGACCAGGTAAGCCAGCATGGCAGCTTGGGGCCAGCACCTCGTGACAGTCTCCTGTGGACAGCCTTTTGTGGGCAATGGGTGGCTCTGTTCCGAGGTGGGCTGTGGAGACCCCAGATGCCCTCCTCCCTGTTCCCAGTCCACTTACGTTTAAAGAGCTCAGAGTCGAAGCCAGCATCCTTCCCCAGGTAAGCTGAAAACCCAAGACAAACGCAGCTGGAGAGGGCTCAGACTACATAACCCTACTGTATTTTGAGGCATGGTTTTGGGTGTGGGTTTAAGTTCTGGCCCATGAAACAACTCTGGGGAAAGTCCTTTATCCTTTATCTTTCTGTTCCTTAGCTTCTTCATCAGTAAAATGGCAGCGTGATTGCTCCCTGACAATGGTGCGTTATGAATGAATGTTTTTCTATGAATAAGGCCCTCAGGACCTGACACACATTAGGTGCTCTATAAATGCTGGTTTCTCTCCTTAGTCCAGACGGGGAGAAGCCTGGCCAGAGACTCTGGAGGGATGGGTACCGCCAGAGCTGACTGGAAGTTAAAGGTGAAATGGGCATGACCCCCTGAGCCAGGCAAGAGCAGCTGGCCCCAAGTGCTTAACTCCATCAATCCTCACAGCAGCCTCGCTCTCCAGAACCATCATTATCCACTCATACAGGTGAGGAAACTGAGGCAGAGTCACCCACTAGCCCTAGCAGCCTGAGACATGATATGACCCGGCTCCTCAGAGCGAGGTCCAGGCCGGCTCCAGGCGGCACACAGAGTAAGTGGGAGACTCAGTGTTGGAACCTGGTTCCTGCCTCCTGGCCCAGGGCCATCTACATAAGCCCCCACTCCCCAAGTCACCATGGAGATGAGACAGAGGAGCAGTGGCAGTATCTGTGAGCAGATGCTCAAGGTGGGGATCCTCAAGTTGCTGACCTAGATGGAGGGATAGGCATAGTTACGGAAGGAGGGAGAGAGGGAGGGCTGGGTAGAGGGACACAGGGCCTGGTGTGTGACCTTGGTCTACATTCTGGGCACAGCCTATGGGGCAGCTCAAATGTTCACACAGAGTGCCTGACTGGGTGGCAGGGATAGCTGCCTCCCAAGAACTATTTTGGGAATGGGCAGAGGGTGGAGGGCTGCAAAGGGCAGTTTAGCTAGGATCCTGAGAAGTGAGGAGGGGTGGGGCTGGACAGCTGCCCTGGGAGTGTGTGTGTGTGTGTGTGTGTGTGCATGTGTGTATATGTGTACATATCTGAGGTCTCTCATTCTCAGAGCCATGAAGGCAGGATGTAGCATTCCCAGAGTGACAAGGGACATTTTCCTTTTCCAAGAGCCTACTGTTTACCAAGCTTTATATGCCCCATTTGGCTGAATTAGCGGGAGCATCTGCTGGAGGAGACCGGGCCCCATTGTACAGGGAGAAGACAGTAGTAGCTCAGAGAAGTTAGGCAGCTTCTGAGGCTCACACAACCAGCTGAGGCAGAGCCAGGATGGAGACTGGGGTCTGGTTGACGTCTGGGTATCTGCCCTGCTGTAGGTTGTGATTTCAGATGCTCACGGGCAACCTCTAGGAGGGGACAAGTCCGACCAGGAACTGTATACTAGAAGCCAAAAAGGGCAGGTTGGGAGTGGAGGGCTTAGCTTTTGCCTCTGCTCCAGGAGACCCTCAGCAAGGGTCTCTACCCTCTTGGAGGCCCTCAGCTGAGTCCCATGCCCAATCTGGTGGGACCAACATGCTCATGGTGAGGTCACCTTGAACTGTCGTTTTGCACAAAGGTATCTGCTAAGGATCAGTAGGGGTTGAAATCTAGTCTGTTTTGTGGGCTGGCCTAAGGACTGCCTCAGTTTGGAGGACAATCTTCTTTTTTCTAGTCCATCCACCCAATTCATACAAAGCTTGGTGAATGATTCATGCCTTCAATGATTCTGGACAGAGCCTAGCTCAAAGCCAGCTCAGGATGGACAGACCCTGTGTACTCAGTGTACAGTGTGTACTCAGGAAAGTCAGTCCCCTTCTCTCACCTGGTTGCTCTCCACATCAAACTCCAGGGACAGAGGCTTTCACCTCTCTATTGCCCCACCCAGCTGTCCTCACCAATCTGAGGGAGGAGGCTCTGTCAGTTCTGTGGCTGCCTTGGTCCCTAATCCCAGCTCAATACCTTCACCCTTTCTTCAAGTGTAACCACAGGCCCATGACTTCGTCTGCTGGTCATGGGCTAATTGGGGCCTGGCCTGTGGGAACTGATGGACTTACTGCGGACGAGGACTTTGGCGAAGGCGGAGGCCTGGCCGTAGGCATTCTTTACCAGCACAGTGTAGGTGCCTGAGTCCTCAACCGTGCATCTGAAAAGATGAAAAGGGAAAAGTTCCCCAGGACTGCTGGACTCCATGGAGAATGCAAATCCCCTCTGTGGATGGGATAGACTGGGTGGAAAGAGAGCCTTGGTGGTACAGGGAAAAAAACCTAGGCTGTGTGTCTTTGAGCCAGTCACTGTACTTTTCTGAAATTCTGGAAAACCTAACACCAGCCAAAACTAGCCCAGGGAAGAGTGATTTGAAAATATCATGCATCACACTGTGTTGTTATTACCGACTCTGGAGAATCAGAGAGGTAAAGTGACTCTCCCAGAATCACACAGCAACTGAAATGCAACCCAGCTCACCTGTGGTGCTCTCTAGGTACTACTTCCTGCCTTGTTGACAGTTTCACATCAGAATTCTGGAACTGGGCTTCCTCCTTTCACACACGGCAGCAGACTTGCCAAGGCATACTGCTGGTCTGTGCCAGAACAGGGCATGGTGCCCAGGTTTGGATCTCAGGCCTGGGTCTCACCACCATCCAGGCTGACCCTGTATGTGCCTAGTAGAATGGGCTCGTTCCCTCCAAGGGGACCCTGATGACAGAGTAGGTGGTAAAGAGGTACCCATGTGCACCCCCTCAGCAAGCCAAGAGCCTTGGTGCCCCTGGCACACAGGGCAAGAATCCCTCTTGCTTCAAGGATGACGTCATGGTCAGGGTCCTTTGAAGGCCCCTTCTCTGACTGTGCAGCCTGTGACACCTCATTGCTTAAACTCACAGGTCAGGTACTAAAGTCAGGTCGGAGTACCCACTGTGCTTCTGGAGGAAGGATCAACTTCCTACTCATCTTTGTGTCTCAGAGGCCTGTGATGGCTAACTTAGAGGGCTTGATGGGTTAGAAGGAAGCCAGACAACAGATCTGGCCAAATCCAGACCCTGCATCAGGTGGGCAAGACCCACAACCTTCCTGAGCCTGTTTTGAATATGGTGGTGAGAACACTTTCCTTGAGTGGGTTATGAGCCTCTGTGGAGAGCAGCCAGCACAGGGAGAGCCTCGGGGCTGCTTGTTCAAGCAGAGTGGCAGATACTGGGGGAGGTTGGGCTTAAGCGCCCCCATGTAGCCCTCCTTCCACACATCTGTTTCTTTCTTTAGAATCAGGCTGAAGACTCCTCATCTCCTGGAAGGCCATCTAACCCTCTCCTTTACCCACTGCCCCTTGTTTGCTTGTGTGTACATGTGTATGTATATGAAGGTTTGTTTTCCATTCCCCAGCAAGAAGCTTTCCCAGCATGTCTAGTGCAGTATTCAGTCTGAATTTCTCATTGTGTATTCCAAGGCACCTGAAGTTTGTGTGTGTGTGTGTGTGTGTGTGTGTGTGTGTGTGTGTGTGTAATGCCAATACACACTGCTTCTGGATCCCATTCAGACCTACTTAATCTGACTCTCTGGAGACTGAGGGAGGGGGAAGTCCCTTCGAGGAACCATATTTTAATAAATGTGACAATGCCCCTCCACCCCACTTCAGAGGATGAGATAAACCCAGACACCAGTGCCCAGAAAGGGCTTGGGGGTGAAGGAGTCCAGCTATGGCCTCAGTCGTGTCGGGCCCAGGGTCATGGAGTCATGGGTCATTCTGGGTTCACAGACTCACCTCCTGATCTCCAGGGTCAGTAGCCCGTAGTTGTTGGTAATGTGGTATTTGCCCGCAGGAAAGAGGCGGGGATCTATACGAATGTCATTCTTGTACCTGTGGAGACATGGTGTCTGTGGAGACATGGCCCTGGGCAGGAGGGTTGCAAAGCTTCAGCTCTGTGTTGATCACTGGCCAGCACCACCCAGTGGTGCTGTCTGCATTCAGACATAAAGAAGAAAAACAAAGTTCTATCATATTTAAGCTGATTTAAAAAACCACAACAGGGATTGGAGAGATGGCTCAGGGGTTAAGAGCACTGATTGCTCTTCCAGAGGACCCCGGTTTAGTTCCCAGCACCCACACAGCAGCTAACAACCATCCGTAACTCCAGTTCCAGGGGGTTCTGATGACCTCTTCTGACCTCTGGGGGTACTGCACAACATGGGTACACTTACATACATGCAGGTGATATATACCATATACACACATAAAATATACATTTGTTCACATAAAATAAAGAATATACATCTTGTTTTTTTTTTTTTGAGACAGGGTTCCCAGCTGGCCTGGAACTCACTATATAGACCAGGTTGGCCTCCATCTCACAGAGATCCACCTGCCTCTACCTCCTGAATGCTAGGATTAAAGGCACATGCCACCACGCCCAGTGTAAAGTATATTTTTCTTTAAAAAACAAAACAAAGCAACTTCATACTCAGGACTCTGTGTACAGGAACAATGAAGTTAAAACCATTGGGTCTAGGACTTGGACGTGTGTGTGTTTGTGTGTGTATGTGTGTGTGTGTGTGTGTGTTGGTGTGTAGTGCTGCTAGGAATTGAACCCTGGGACTTGTATATGTTAGGAAAGTGTTCTACTATTGAGCCACATTCCAAGCTCATCTCCAATATTTTTTTGTATGTGCCTGTTCATATGAGCATGTGTGAACATGTGTACTCACATGTATGTGGAGGCCCGAGGACAATTTTGGTGTCCTTTCTCAGGAGCTAACTACCTTCGTTTTTGAAACAGGGCCTGGAACTTGGGTTCCAGTTTGGATGGCTGGCCAGCAAACCCTAGGGATCTACCTATCCTACCTTCCTACCTTCCCAGCACTGGGATTACAAGTATGCACCACCACACCTGGCTTTTTTTTTTTTTTTAAATAGGTTATAGGGATTGAACTCATGTTTGTGCGGCAAGCACTTTACTGACAGCTCCTCAATATATTTTATTTTATTTTATTATTTTTATTTTATGTGTATGAGTGCATTGCCTGCATGTATGTGAGTGCACCTGTGTTGTGAAATGCCTTGGAGATCAGAAGAGGGCTTCGGAGTCCCCTGGAACTGGAGTTAAGGACTGTTTGTAGCCACCATGTGGGTACTGGGAATTGAACCCGGGTCCTCTGCAAGAGCAGTCAGTGTTCTTAACCGCTGAGCCATCTCTCCAGCCCTGCTCCTCAATATTTTTAAGACTTCCTGAGGGTAGTCATGTGGATTACGGTAGTCTGGTGGATACTGCCTTTGTTTTTTGCAGACTTGGGTCTCATTCTTGGCAATGTGCTGACTAGACAGCAAGGTGGCCTGTGGGTCTAGAGGCCTAAGAGATTAAGGCTGAAGGTTGGGAGGCTGGGTTCTTTTTCTTTAAAAAAATTTTTAAATTTATTATTTTTATTTTATGTGTATGAGTATTGCCTGCATGTGTGTAACTACACCTGTGTTGTGCTGGAACTGGAGTTATGGACGGTTGTTAGCCTCCATGTGGGTACTGGGAATCAAACCCGAGTCCTCTGCAAGAGCAGCTGATGGTCTTAACCATTGAGCCATCTCTCCAGCCCCGAGGCTGGGTTCATGACACAGTTTTCTGTGTGACCTTGGGCAAGTCTATTCCTCTGGGCCTCTGTGAACCAGCGGCCACTGAATGATGACAGGAGCAAGAACAGAAATGGCTCTCCCTGCCCCTGGGCCGGTCTTGAGGTTGAAGAGGAGAGTGCCTTTGTTGGCCAGCAGAGGGCGCTCTAGCTTCAGAACACCGCCTTCCTTTGACCTGGCCCCTCTGGGTGCCCTGTTTGTCTCCATGGCAACTAAACAGAGGCACAGCCACTCTGTCCCAGGCTGTACCCACTTAGGAAAGGGGCCCAGCTAAGTCTCCTATGGGGAGGGTAGTGCCTAATCTGGGCACGTACCTCCTCCAGTTCTGAGGGCCAGGCCCCCAGCCTACACCTGTCAGGAACATTCCAGACACCTCAGGCTGGCCAGGCTCTGCTTTTCTCCCAAGATGCAGCAGCTGCAGCTCTGGGCATGGGCTATACTGCTGGCCCTCAGCCTCATCCTGCCCTGTCTCAAGCCTGAGAGGCCTCATAAGAGAGTCTTAATATTTGTCTAAATCCTTGTTTGTTTCCTGAGACACCATTTCACCATGTAGTCCAGGTTGGTTTCAGACTTAGGAATCTCAAGCTTCAGCCTCCCGATGTTAGATTTTATTTTTATTTTTTTGAGACAGGATCTTCCTGTAGCCCCAGTTGACCTGGAATTAGCTAGGTAGACTAGGCTGGCCTTGATCTCACAGAGATCTGCCTGCCTCTGTGTCTTGAGTGCTGGGATTAAAGTTGTGTGCCACTATGCCTGGCTTAGATTTTATTTATTTATTTAATTTTTTTTTTTGGTCTTTTTGAGACAGGGTCTCTCTGTAGCCTCAGCTGTCCTGGAACTCACTATGTAGACCAGGCTGGCCTTGAACTCTCGGAGATCTGCCTGCCTCTGTGTCTTGAGTGCTGGGATTAAAGGTGTGCGCCACCACGCCCAGCCTATTTTTTTTTTTTAATTTTATTATTTTTATTTTATGTGTATAAGTGTGTGTGTAAGTGCACAGTGTCATGCAGTGCCCATGGAGATCAGAAGTGGGCAGTGGCTCCCCTGGAACTGGAGTTATGGATGGTTGTTAGCCACCATGTGGGTGCTGGGAATAGAACTTGAGTCCACTGCAAGAGCAGCCAGGGTTCTTAACCACTGAGCCAATTCTCCAGCCCGATTTTATTTTTTAAACGATGCTTGATCTGATAGATTGGTTCTAGCCAGTCCAGTTAGATTCAAGGTTCATTTCTATGGCTAACCATGGCCAGAATAGGCCTCCCTTAATTTGACCAGATCTTGACCAGAGCCCCAGATGCTTGGGGTTTCTAATATGTCATCTGAAGTTTCCTGTGTCCCTCCCTGAGCATGTTTCATCTTGTTGCTGACCCTGGAGTTGAGGATAGGACACTGTTGCCTGCCCCCAACACTTCATACCTGGGCTGGACAGTCGCAGTGCTCCCGTCTGGCCCGGCCTGTTTTCTAGCACTTGCTGTCCTTTCTCCTTACCTCTCCCTCCTGTACCCCTGACCCAGGTTTCTGGCACCCCACAGGGTGTTGGGCTCCCCCTACCCACATACCTTGACTTCTGTTTTTCCTGCCTTAGTTCATATGGAGCCTTAAGTACAGCCGCTGGATTCCATCTGTGAAGACCTTAGCTAAAAGTGTGCCTTGAGATTAGATCCTCCCCTCCCACCTCCAATGACATGTCCTTCCTCTGGGACACCAGTTCAAGTTTGTGCAGCTGACCTGTTACAATGTTTGCCTCGCCAGGTGACGCTGTATGCTTGAGTCCTCTGCATCCAGGAAGTGCTCAACAGTTGCCAAATGAATAGACGCCCCTGACAAGCCAGGATCTTTCTCTCAAGCAGGGGCTGGACCTCTATTGGGGCTTAGACAAAACATTTAGAGGCCAGCCCCAGGGCTACATGTGGGCCTGCTCCAGGTGATAGAAAATGCAAAACCAGCCCTCAGAGTCAAGAGCTCCAGGGGCCACCAGGGTCACCGGGGCTAAAGGGACCCAGCCTTGATTTCTCTACTCTTTCAGGAATGTTGGGCCCTGTGGGGCTGGTCTTGTTGGCAGGAGCAGAAGCCAACCCCCCTCCTAGAGGCTCCCATAGAATGCTATGGAGGACCAGAAAGGTTAAGTAGCAGAGAAAAAGCAAGGCCTGAAACTTCAGGCTCCCAGCCCAGGTCTAAGCCCCTTCTCCCAACCTCCTCTCCAGTTTCCAGACTCCCTGTCCTGCCTCCCAACACAGTCTCCAGCCCTGGAGACACCCAGCTTAGAGCAGCTGCCTCCTCATACCACCAGAATCATATTTTTACAAGGACTGGCTCTTCAGGGGTCCAGGCTTCCAGCCCCAGACTTATGGGGGAGGTGGCTAAGAATAGCCCAGGCCTGAGGCAGCCCAGGCTCCCTGGCAGCTGTTGCTCTGTGTGTGGGGTGGGCAGGGTCTGTGGGCTCTGGCCTTGCTAAGTAAGGCAGAGGAACCTTGGGGGAAGATGTAAGGCTGCAAAGAACTCACAAGCTGAGCATGGAGGGAGACTGAGGACTCTGTCTCTAGCTCCAGCGACTTACCAGGTGACCTGGAAGGGAAACGAACCCTGGACGGTACAGGTCAGCAGGACTGTAGAGTGCTCCCAGACAGCGTGTGAGCGAAGTGGGATCCAGAACCAGGGGCCCCGGCCAGAGCATAGCTCGATTAGCTCCTTGGCCTCTTGGACCTTCTCCTCTGTCTGGAGGTGAAGGGGCATGTGTGACTCTAGGGGCCAGGGAGTCCCCTCATCTTTTCCCTTTACACTCAGTCTCTGGCTGAGCCCTCAACCCCATCTTGAGGCAGCACTGACCGGTGGACAGGGACTGAGCTCTAGGAGGAGCTGGCTGTGCCCTTACTAGCTAGAGGGCCATAGACAGGGCCTTAGTCTCTTTGCCTGTAAAATGGGGATGATGACAGCATTTACTCACCCTCGTGAGGTTATAGTAAGGATTAAGTGAGCTAATATATGAGAAATAGGAATTATATGAAGAAGCCTGGGAAGGGGAGACCCCTCACAATAGCCAGGAACATTTTCTGAAGGTCTTGTAGACACCGGGAAGTCACTCTACAAACCCAAACTCATTTCATTTCTACCTCAGCACAGAGCTTTTCTAACCACACCCATGTCACAGATGAGAAGGTGAGCCTCAGGAGTTGACCATCCCCTTCCCAGATCACACAGCTGAGGGTAGGGGCATCAGGATTTGAATCCAAGACTCCAGTCCCCTTTCCTGGATTCCTTCTGAGAAGGAGGTGAGAGTGAGGACGAGGCATGTGGTCCCAGATCCGAGGTGAGGGTCTCCCCAGTGCCTTACCCGTTGCCGTAGGGCCCTCCAGTTCCGCCTCTGGCGCAGCAGCCGCTGGGTCCGTAGGAAGGCCATCTCCATCCTCTCCCGGTCATTGCCAAAGCCCACTCGCTTTTGCCCACGCTCCTCCAGCTCCACCGTGGAAGTCTGGCGCCTCAACTTGGCTTCCCTGTCAGGACAGAGGCCATCAGGACTCTGACAGCATCCATGGAGCTGGTGCAGTCTGGTCAGAGGCACCAGGCATGTCAGTGGCACTTAGGAGTGTACTTTAGGGACAAGGACAACCTTATATCCTTCTCCTGTCTGCAGATACCTTTATAGGGAGCTGAGTGGCGATGTAGCTTGGCTGGTAGAGTGCCTGCCCAGCATACATAAAGCCTTAGTTTTGATCTACAGCACCACATAAACCAGATGTGGTCATACATGCCTATAATCCCAGCACTTAGGAGTTAGAGGCAGGAAGATCAGAAGTTCAAGGCCAGCCTCAGTGAATTTGAGGCCAACCTAGGCTACATGAGACCCTGCTTCAAAAAACTGTGTGTGTGTGTGTGTGTGTGTGACCCTGCTTACAGCTGGAGCTTAATAGGTGTGTGGCTATAGAAGGAGTGTGTGAGGCTTCTCCACAAACCATTGTTGGCCTATTTGCACTGTGGCCAAGTAGACAGATGTTTGCCTTCCCATTTTATAGGATGGGAAAGTGAGGCCCTAGTGACTTGCTTCAGGCCAACAGGGCCATGTGCCAGGCCTCCAAGCTCAGGGACCTTCCCAAAGCTGTGGTGTTTCTGGAGAGGTGCTCGTGGGCCTTCCCTTCCTTGTGTGAACCTTGGGGCCCGCTGTCAGTTCTGCAAACCTTCTTCTGTTTGTAAAGCTTGTTGGTGATGAGGGTGGCCCTTGGGGACTGAGTCTTCCTGTGATGAGTAGTCTCTTCCAGTTGTGGTGTGAAGGCTTGGTGGGGAGAAAGTGCCTGGTTTGCACTGCACCTAGCCCCTCTCCTCCGTGTGGAACTCCAGACAGGTCCATTGAGTGCCAATGGGAGCCCAGCACAGAGGAAGGAGGCAGAGGACCCGGGACAAGACAGGACAGCCCTGCCTCAGCCAGGGCCCCTGGGATAGACATGTGACTTACCAGGACAACTCTGAGGAGGCTGTCAGGGCCAGGGCAGCAGCCAGGGCATAGTCAGCAGCGCTGAACTGCTGTTCTTCTTCACTGTGTCAGGAGAAAGGGAGATCAGGGCTCCTGAGAGATTGCCTGGGGGTCTGGCTGGGGGGCTCCAGGATGCCAGCAGGCACTGAACCCCCACTCCTCATGCTGGGGTCTCAGAGAGCAGGGATGTCTCCATACCCTAACAGGCTTCAGAGAGCAGGGCTGGACCTCCTGTCAAGGTCTGGATGTGAAACATCCCCTAAGGGACCTGTATTTAAAACTTGGTCTTCAGCTAGAGGATCTAGCTATTGAGATGTGACTGGATCACAAGGGTTGTGTCTTCATCAGTGAGTTAATCCCTTGATGGATTTATAGTTTGACATTATTATTGGGAACAGTAGAAACTTTCAGAGGTGGGGCTTGGTTGGAAGAAGTAGGTGTGGGTGAAGGGGAGGGGAGGGGAGTTGTTATGTCCTGGGCTCTGTCTTCCTTTTTGAGCTCTGCTCCTGGCCACCCTTCTATTACTGGTGTTCGGCCTCACCTCAGGGCCAAAGCAACAGATCCAGCTGACCATGGAATGAACCCCTTAAAGGATGAGCCAGAATAAACCTTTCCTCCCCCAGATACTTTTGTCAGGTATTTTGTACCATGACAAAAGGTCCCTAACATATTCCCCATCAGACTGGAGCTTCCAGAGAGGTAGGCTGTGTCTCTTCTCTCAGTGTCTCTGGAGGTTGCTTTGTGTCTCTTTCATTCAGACTGGACTCTCAGACAGCAGGGCTGTGCTCCCTCATCTTAGATGGAAGTCTCTAGAGGCCCAGGCTATGCTTCCCCTTCTGACTGTGGTCCTGGGGTGGGGCTGCTGGGCTGGAGCTCTGGCTGGGGAGGGGCCGCTGGGATATGCTCACCTGCTGCGGTAGGTCCGCCTTTGGACAGAAGAACCCATGTGCAAGCTGTGTTGTCTCTCCTCCTTCCGTTCTTCCTCCTGCCTCTGTTCCAACCTGTGGACCTGTACAACCTGGGGGGCCTGGGGCTCCCCAGCGCTTCTGGGACTGTGAGGCAGAGTCATGGCTACCAGTGCAGCAACCTACCAAGGCCAAGACATATATGGTCATCCTACCAGATAGCTACCTGTCCTTTCCCATGGGCTCTGGGAGTGTTCCAGAGTAAGAGGTTCTTTCCCTAGAGGGAGAGGGACCTGCACATGGTGACAGAGGCAGGCTCAGATAGAGCCAGATTTCTCTACTGCCCCATGTGCTTTGGCAGTGGGTGAGCAGAGCCCCATGGGGGAGCAGGGCCCCAGCCAGCAGCTGCAGTCTTGGCCCATTCATCCCCTTCTCTGGATTTCCAATGAGACCTGCACGCTGCTGCCCAAGGCTGGGTCCAGGTCTCTAAATGGGCAGGTGTCCCATCTCCTGTGTAGGTCATTCCCAGTCTCATCCCCTGTGTCTGTGCTGTGCTGGTTTCTACCCCTCCACCGCAGTTTAACTCCAGCCACTCTTCCAAACCTAACCTGATTATGCTGCCACAGTACAATGGGTAAGGTGGAGACTCTAGGTCCTTTCCTGGGGTGGTCCTGTGATCCTAGCCCCTTGAACTTTATGGCTTGATTTTCCCATCTGTAAAATGTGCCCATCACCTTCCTAGGGTGCTCAGAAAGATTAAGTGGGAGTCTGGAGTACTAAATCCTGTTCCACTGTCAGATATTACCACCTCCTCCTTAGAAGCCTTGCAAAAATACAATAGACTTTCTAGAACTTTCTCTTTTAATCCTTTTAGTACTTTAAATCTGCACCCCACAATTTGGTTTTTATTCAGAAAATACCTTCTCTTCTTTTAAAAATATTTTATTATTTTTATTTTATGTGTATGCATGTTTTGCCTGTATGTAGGTCAGTGCACCTGTGTCGTGCAGTGCCCTCAGAGGACAGAAGAGGCTGCTGAATCCCCTGGAACTGGAGTTACGGACAGTTGTTAGCTGCCATGTGGGTTCTGGGATTCGAACCCAGGTCTTCTGCAAGAACAACCAGTGTTCTTAACTGCTGAGCCATCTCTCCAACCCCCAATACCTCCTCTTTCTATTTATCATTTCCCATCTGTACATATGCAGTGTGTGACTCTGTGGTGTGTGTGGAGCTCAGGCTGCTGAGTCTTCTCTCACACATTCCCTCCATTTCCTAAAGGTTTGGTCTTTGTGCTGCCCACAGCTGTGACCATCAGGAAGGACAGATGCTTGCTGTAGTAAGCTGCCATCATGGGTTGCTCCAAAATGTTCTTTAGCTTCCAGCAAGCACCTCAGCAGGACCAAAGGACAGTCACCCCTTGGCCTCCCTCGGGCTCCTCTTGGCTAGAGAGCATTTCAGTACCCAGGGAAACAGCCAGTTCCGCTCACCCCATCTTCCTTCCTTAGCCCACATGGCTGGCTCTCGGGGGTGAGGCGCCCTGATCTCCTGGCACACTGGCCTGGCACCAGTAGTGAGGGCTTCAATGCTCTCTGGCTTCAATGCTGGCTCCTTTCCCTGATGTGCTAGTGAGCACAGCAGTCTCCTGGAACTTAGCCTCAAGACCCCTGCCTCCGTGGTGAGCCACGGATGCTTTTTAAAGCACTGACTAAAGTGTGGGATTAAGCAGGAACAGGTTCATGGCCTCTACTGCCCTTTCCCACAGGGCTGGGGGACTTGGGGGCCTGCCAGGTTAGGAGAGGCAGGCACACCAAAGCGGAGGAGCTGAGCTGGCTGGGCCAAAACAGATGTACCCTGCCCAGTGGGTCGGCACAGGCCGGAACATGCCATGGCTCCCCAGCTCCCCAGAGGCTACGATGACCTGGCCCTGGTTAGTGGAGGCAGCTCTCCTTTCCCAGGGGAGCGTCAGCATCCCACTCATCCCCTGCACTGGGTGAACTGGACAGCTCTAGGATTTGACATTGCAGGCCTCGTTCTCTTTCCCTGCCTCTGTGGGGTCTGCCAAGCAGGGCTCAGCAGTGCACTCCAACTCTGCTGGACCTAACAGCTTCCACTCCCCAGCTATGGCTGTTCTAGGTGGCAAAGACTCTAGTTCCTAGGGCATCCCCAGGGTATCCCCTCTGTAGCTTTCATATGGAGGAGGACTCAGAATCAGAAGACTCAGGGCCACACAGAAGAGTGGGATGGGGCAGAGGGTTCTGGAATATCCCATTTTCACTTGGGGTTCTGCCAAGCTCAAATCTCTCACTTCCTCCCCACCACAGACACACACACCATAGACACATACACATGTAGACATACACACACTATAGACATATACATCACATACACATCACAGACACACACTATAGACACACACTCACATACCATAGATACATAGCCCATAGACACATACATACCCCATAGACACACACATAAACCCCACACACCCAATAAACATACGCATCATAGACACATACACATCATAGACACATACACATACCATAGACACACAACACTCACACATCACATACTACACCATACACACACACACAAACCCACATAGCATATACATACGTATACCATAAATACATATACACACTCCACACACATATACACCATACACACCTACTACACATATACCATATTACATACCACACACACACAAACACACACACACACACACACACACACACACAGCAGAATGGCTCCCATGGAAAAGCTGTGGTCTCTCTCTGTTGGGCTCCCTCCGACCCTGATCCCTGCATGTGACTCACAGAAACAGTCGTGTCCACTCAGGCGTCTCTGGCTGGGAGGGCAAGAAGGTCTCTGGTCTCTTCCTGTCCTCAGCTCAGTGAGGACGGGGGAAGAATGCACTCTTGGAGCCTGCACTGTCTTAAATATAGCAGTGCTAAGATAGTGTGGTGACAATGGATGGGAGCTATGGCAGGGGTGGGGCAGAGGGGAGGGCTGTCTGTTCTGCCAGCACTGCTGGGCAGCAGGGACAGGTGGGACAGCCCCCCACCCTCTCATGCTGCTCCTCCCCTCTAGCCTTGACATCCAAGCCCAGCCTCTGTCCAGAGGGAAGAGTGATGGCGGGGGCGGGGGGGGGTAGTGGACAGGCGTGGTATTCCCAGAAGCTACGACTGTTTGATCTCAAGTCTCCCTCCAGGTGCTCAGTGCCCTGGAGAAGGTACTCAGCTTCTCTGATCTGATTTCCCTTCTGAAAATTAGAGACAGTGGGTCAGGGTACCTGGACTTCATGCAGACAGTAAGGGAAAGTGACCTAAACATGAGTGATTCCTGGCTAAGGTGGAAATGCGTGGCTTCTCCCTGTCCATCACCCCAGCAGTTATTGGCACTGCCCTCAGCCTGCCCATGGTCATGTGTGCAGGGCAGGGGCAGGAGAGGAGCCATTAGGTAGGTGATATTGCTACAGAGTGTGAACAGGTCTAGAAAGCTGTACCAGCTCCAGGTCAGAGAGCATAGCTTCTCCACTGCCCTCCTGGGACCACAGGCAGGCAGCCAGGGTCACAACACTGCCACTGATGGCTGTTCTTCCCAAAGCCCAGGGACCACTCCCTGGAGAGAGGGAGTGAGCAGCAGTGAGCTCTTCAGCCCCAATCTTAATCTCCTGTCCCACTCAAAAAGCCCTTTCTAAGCTTCTCTGACTCTATCTCTTCCCTAGGCCAGTGTTAAATGCAGTTCTGGGGGAGAATGCTGGCGGGCCATGCTCTATCGTCTTTTCGTTTTGTTTTGAGACAGGGTTTTACTATGTAGCCCAAGCTGGCCTGCAACTTGTAACCCTTGGGCCTCAGCCTCCTAAGTGCTGTGATTACAAGTATGTACCACCCTGCCCTCCCCATCTCCTGTTCTCCACCCGGAGGAAGGACTTCCCAGGACCCATACACTTGCTGTGACAGATATATGTGATGACTGAGGGGTGCACTTCTGTCTAGCAGGGCATAGACCTTTAAACAGGTCTTGTTTTCCTCTCTGATGAGGCAGCCTGGGCATGGGGTCGGAGGGATGAACTCAGGCACACACCAGAGATGGGGCAACCCCCACCCCTGAATCTGACTGTTCAGGCTCCCAATCTGTCCCATTGCTTGAGCAAGTCACTTCAGGGCCACACGATGACTGCCTTACAGTCTGATGGAGCAGAGTGAGGGGCCAAGGCTGTAATCACAGCACTTAGGAGGCTGAGGCAGAAGGATCTGGTAGTCCAGATCTAGCCTGGGCTATAGAGCATGACCCTGTCTCAACCTATGCCTCCTTTAAAAGAAAGAATCCGGGCTAGAGAGATGGTTCAGCAGTTAAGAACACTGGCTATTCTTCCAGAGGATTGGGGTTCAGTCCCCAGCACCCACATGGCAGCTAACAACCATCCCTAACTCCAGTTCCAGGGAAATCTGGCACCCTCTTCTGACCATGGGTGTACTTACATACATGCAAGCAATACACTCATACATATAAAATAAAAACAATAAATGAAATATTTTTAAAAATAAAAATAAATTAAAAGAACAAATCCAATCAGACTCCCACAGCCTCACACACAGTGCTAGGCATATAGTAGAGGGCTGTTCAATGAGAGCTTCACTGGTCATTTCCCATCTCTAGGAGCACTGAAGGCATTCTTTCACCCAAACCACATAGGCATAAGTTCCCCTGTGTCCCTCAGCTGGTCATAGGTCATGTGCCCATATGTCACTGACACCTGTAGGTATAGCCAAACCTCAGTCAGGAGGTTGAGCAGAGCTAAGCTGATTTGGAGGTACACAGACCTTGGCTTAGATGCCAGCCTTAGGCTCATCTACTCCTTTATAAGGAAGACTTGGGCTTCAAAAGGAACTTGGCTTCTTAAAAAATATTTATTATTATTTACTACTACTACTACTACTACTACTACTACTACTACTACTATTTTTTTGGTCTTTTTGAGACAGGATCTCCCTGTAACCCCCACCTGGCCTGGAACTTACTATATAGACTAGGCTGGCCTTGAAATCACAGAGATCCTTCTGCCTCTGCCTCCTGATTGCTGGGATTAAAAGTGTATGCCACCATGCCCAGCCTATTTATTATTTTTATTTTATGTGTATGAGTGTATTGCTTGCATGTATGTAAGTTCACTCATGTTATACAATGCCTGGGGAGGTCAGAAGAGTGCACTGGATCCTCTGGAACTGGAGTTATGGATGGTTGTTAGCTGCCATGGGGGTGCTGGGAACTGAACCCTAGTCCCCTACAAGAGCAGTCAGTGCTCTTAACCACAGTCAGTGCTGCTCTTAAGCCATCTCTCCAGCCCCTCTTTTTTTTCTCTTTTTGAGACAAAGTCTTACTATGTAAGACAGCTCAGGCTGATGCTGAATTCATGATTCCCCCTGTCTTAGCCCCACCCCAAGTGCTGGGATTACTAGCATGCACCACCATGTCCTGGCCTTCAGCCTCTTCCTGGGCCTGGGTTTCTTTCTCTGTAGATTGGAGAGGGGGATCTAAGATAGCGGGGAAACATGCTTGTTTTGTTCTCTTTATCCTGGTCCCCAAGAATAGTGCCCAGCATACAACGGGGTCCTCAGCTTGGGTTTGTTTAAAAAAGAATGGATAGAGTTCAGTCCATTAATGTTTAAAGTTATTAATGAAAGATGAGTATTGAATCCTGTCATTTTTTGTTTATATTCTTGCTATAGTTGTACTTTTACACTGTTATACTCTCCTTGGAGTTCTTTCTGCAACCCCTTGGGTATAGTCATTCCTTTCTTCAGTTCTTTGTATTGCTCCCAGAACTCTCTGAAGGGCTGGTTTTGTGGACAAGAATTCCTTCAGCCTATTTATGTCATGGAAGATTTTTCTTTCCCCTTCAACTTTAATAGACATTTTGGCTGGATATAGTAATCTGGGTTGGCATCTGTGGTCATTTAACACTGGGAATACTTTGGTCCAGGCTCTTCTGGCTTTCATAGTTTGCATTGAAAAGTCAGCTGTGATCCTAATGGGTTTTCCTTTATATGTGACTTGTTGTTTCTCTTTTGCAGCTTTCAGAATTTTCTCTTTGTTTTGTACATGTAGTCTTTTTATTATGATGTGCTGTGGAGAGTTTCTTTTCTGGTGCTGTCTGTTTGGTGTTCTGTATGCTTCTTGTATTTGTATGGGCATGTCTTT